GCTTTCTTCTCAGTTTTTTCTTCATGGCTGTGATCTGAATTCCCTTCATCAAAACATTCCTCCAGTGATCCTTCCTGAAGAGTATGGTGGTACTTCAGGGAAGCTGGACATCTCTGCATGGAATGAGCTGCTGCTAGCCTCTGAAGAAGACTTCCTGCATGATTTCTCGCAGCTGGTTCTCCCATGTGACAGCTCTCCCCATGACATGCTAGTGAGTGGGGATGCTGATGAAAAGCAATGTGATGAATCTCTGCGAGGCATGAAACCTCAACTCTATTACTGTTATTAACAAACCAGTGAAGGGAAGTTTTCCAGCACAGTTAAGATTTGTTCTGATAGGTGACATTGCGAACTCTGCCTTACTCCTAAACCTGCAGTTTAGGAACAGACTGCTGAGGCACTTTACACTGTAGAACCAAAGGAAGCTGAAGAGGGCACAACAGGGGCAGGGCAGAGTTCGGGGAGGATAAAAGCAAAGAGCACAAGTTGTGTAGAATACTTGAGGCTCATCAGCCTCTGTGTGAATGATGCAAAATGTCCTTTCTAATGATAAAGAAAAAAATACATTGCAGGATGGTAAGCTTGATAGTTTCTTATCCTCTCCATGCCCAGGTGAAAAGTGACAATGATGATTTACTAGCTTTGTGAACATCCATTCCCTTTCCCTTCTGAAAACACCAATAAGTCCAAGACAAGAAAATTGCTTTTGAACCCTGCAAAATGTAGTTCTGTCAGTGATGGTTGCTTAAAAACATGGAAGTCTAGCTTGGCAGTTGGTTCAGATTATGAGTTGGCATTTCTGCAGTATCTCAATATTTGGCTCAAATTAATACAGATCAAAACTTTCTTATACATGAATACCAGTACAGAGATCATCTCTGAAACGGTAGGAACAGTATAGTTCTTCCTAACTGTAGGAAGAACTATAACTGGTGGATTAACCACTATAACATCTATGCCTACATTTAGTATAAACAGATGCAATCTTAATTTTCAGAAAACAGGAAGGTTTTCAGATAAAGTACTAAGGCTTTTGGTTAGATAACAGCTTCAAATAATGAGGTTCAGGACCAAATAAGAAAAAGCTATGTCGGCCACCTTCCCACATTGTCAGTGTTCTTTTCTTCAGCTAGTTGTGATGAGGAATTGGGTAACTCATACATAGAATTTTTAAGGAGGCTTTATAACAGTTAGCATATAATGTATAGAAGGCAATACTTGATATAAGGCAGTAAGGTGCTTCTTTAGCTTGTTACTTTGGGCAGAAAATTAAGTCTGTGAAACCAAATGCGGACAGGCTATTTGAAAGCACATTCTTAAATTTCCTGGTATTGTAGCATTTTGTTCACTGTGCTTGTCAGCTCTTTTCTGAAATGTTACAATTTTGTTTTCAACTTTGTTGACCTCTTTTGTCTTTGGTTGTCATGTTCCTGTATGAAGTTAGACTTTTATCATCTCTGTAATATTTACCCGTAGCTTGTATGCCTGTGCTTCTAGGTCTTTGTCTAGAGACAGAACTAAGACTCCAATGTCAAATCAGGGTAAGATACCTATGTCTAAATAAGCTGTTCCCACTCCCCACGTTCAGTCTGTTTGATGGTCTTGAATTAGAACTTAACTCTCAGCACACTCTTTGCACATGTTTTTCTGCACTATAATACTGTGGAGATGGGAAACCTCACTAGGACCAGGAAAGCACACCCAATTACTTAAAGGTGAAATATTTCATTCTTTGGTGAAAAAGGACATCGCTTCTAATGGGAGACTGCTCTCTAGAGCACTTTCTCTGGATGAAATCTTTATTTAGTGCCAAGTGTGATTATAGCTACCAGTTATGTTTCTGTAAATACAAACCTAAAGCATCTTGAGGATTTCAGACATTCATTTTTCAAAGTGCCAAACTCTGTTTTGAATGTCTGCCTGCCTCTCAGTTCCCCTCCAGCATGACTACACTGCCAAAAAGAGACTCCTCTTCCACCATAATGACTTCCTGATCTGGCAGCAGACCTCGTCCTGGAACTAGGGGGTAGTACATACCATACTTGCCATCCAAGCACTGTAAAAGGAGACTGGGTTTTGAAAAGGGATAAACCATGAAGATTTTTTTCTGGGTGGCAGTTTGGAATTTGTGAGAACAGGGAACTCATCACTTGAACAGTTTTAGATTAAAGGTGGGAAGAGATGAATTTTCCTCATTGAAAGCATCTGATTTTTCCTACCTTTGTAAGTCAATTCTTACTCTTCTTTGACAGCTATTAACTTTAGTGCAAGGAAAAAAAAATGTACCATTTTAATCCACTTACTTACTTACTTAAAATAAGGTAAAAAGAGTCCTGCTACCCACTTCCTCCTCATTTCTGACCAGAATGTGCTGCGTGTTTTGCAGAGATTAATTCAGTTCTTTGTGCCACCTCGCAAGACAGTAGCACACAGCACCAGGACTTAGAAAGGTAAGTGGCTGCCCATACTGTTTGACTGCCAGACCATAGCGAGTGGTGTTTCTGTTGTTTTAGTGCCGCTTAATTCTAGCGACAAAGTACAATGAAAAAAAAAAAAAAGTAGGATGGACCATTTTTCCTAGAGGTGAAGGCATGACTGGTATTTGATACTCTTTCCTTAATTGTGCTGCAGGGTTTGAAGTGGTGGCATTTGACAGTTAACCTATAAGAACAGCTACTTTGATCCCCTTACATAACTACTAGAGCAGGAGGTTGAATATTCAAAATTTAATTTAGTGTCCTTCAAAAAAAAAAAAAAATCTAGTGGTGTTCACATAAGACTGAGGAACCTCTATAGAAACCAAACCCTTTTTCAGGCTTTTATATTCTCTTGCATGCCTTAAATAGTAGGCAAACTAGATCCATTTCTCCCTCCCCTTATCTCCTCTGCTCACAGAGAAACGAAGAATAAAGCATATGATTTAAACCTAATAGATAAGGCTAGATTATCAATGCTGAAAACAGGCTGGCTTATGCCTCCAGAACTTCTTTTTCTTAAAGCTGTCTGCTGGGCAGTTGATGTTGGGATGCTTGAACTAAGCCAGGCTTACCTTTGTCAAGCATCTGTTACTTCTAATTTGTTCTTTCTTGGCTTTAGAACTTGGACAGAGAGAGTTGCAACTTTATTGGGCTGTATCTCTAACCTTTTTTAGGTTTGTAACCAGTGCTTGGCTTGCCTTATGTGTGCCTGATGACTGAGCTGAGAATGCTCTTTGAGCTTTAGCACTTACTAGCAAAGAAATCAGTTTGTTCCCAAAATTTCTCATGTCAGCATTTGGAAAATAAACACTTAAGTATAGAGTCTCCTTATCTGCAAGTTAAAAGAATGGACAGGAAAAGCTTACAGGTTTGTTGTGGTGGTTTGTGGGTTTGGGTTTTTTTTTCCCCCACAGCAGTAAAACTTATCTCGGTTCTTTTTTCTGGAAACAAAGTTACTTATTTCAAGTAGAGGTTATATACCTTGCCCAGTACATAAGCCATCCCTGCCAAATCCAGCACATAATAATAAGGAAAGATACTTGAACTGCATTGGGCAGCCATGGCTTTTGGCATTAAGTGGGACAAAAGGTAGCTGCATACTGTATATACAAGTACTTGAATTTATGCTCTTGCAAATGGGTGTTACAAACCCTGAGGTATCTTCAGGAACTGAGTGAAGTGGGTTTTTTTGTTAAATCTCCTTTTGGCATGAGTTAATTGTAGTGTAATTCAAATGAATAATTTTGCCTTCTGTTGTATGTGGGCCTAGAGGTGTTGGTTAAGTGTACATCTTATTTTGACAAAATTTATTTTTATATTGCATTTTATAAAATGGAGTGGTCAAAATGTGTAATTTTATGATGCATGTCAGTGATTAAAGACATTGTAACAGCTGCTAATTTGATATTTTAAATATGTTTGCCGTGTGTAATCTTGGGGTGTTTTATTGCAGAAGTCAATAGTGACATATACTTAGTTCCACACCAAACACACAGTTACTAAGTGTAATTGCCACAGCATTACACTAGGGAAAAAAAAAGTGTTGCTTTCTACTGCAGCAGTTTACTTGAGCAACTTCAAGGAATAGGATATGACATTCCGAGAATCACATGGAAGATGCTGTTTGTTTTAAAAGAAACATAACATGACTTGCTATTTGCTGCATGGAGAAAATGTTCAGTCACATCCAACAGGACAGTCCAGCAGCTAATTAGCATTTTAATCATTGTATGCAGTATTTTGCGTTGGAGAATAGCTACTGCTGCTTAACACTTCTCAAGGGAGCTGGGACAGTTTCAGTAGTTAGTCTGCTTTATTCAAATCCATTTACAGTGCAAATGCCTTAGTGCCAATAATAACCATTTCATGTACATTATTTCTGTAAGCACATTAGACAAGTGAAATCAATTAGAAGCTCTATTTTTCCACCATAATCATAAAGTTGTTTAAGCTGGTCATACACTTACCACTCAGTATAATTGGCAAACATGCTGAAAGAGAAGTTGCCTCTTAGAAAGGGCAGGTTTGTTCTTAAAAGGAATTAAGAGTTAACCTGTTTTTCAACATCAAAAGTTCTGTTCTTTTGCTGAGGAATAAGGGGCTTTTTTTTGCCACAAAACAGAAAGGTAAGTATAAAATAAACTTTTGCAGTGGAATGTAGAAATCAAGCAGCATGGCTTACACTTCCAGGAACTGAAGCGTTAGCATACTAGTGCATTATGCTGAATATAATTGTTCTTTAAAACATATCGCTTCATATTTAGCTAAACATTACTTCTATTCAATAGAAAAGTTGTGGCTATTATACAGAACAGGTATTTTTCTTTTGTGCTTTGACAGCACAGCTATAGTGAATTTTAAAAATGCAGTAATAAGAAAGATAACCATGACTGAAGGTTAAAATAGAAAGGATAACTGATAATAATTTTGATCCTGCATCAAGTATTATGCAATACATACATACATAACTTTCTATCCACCTGTGTGTTAATAGCAACATAAGAAACAGTAACACAGACAGTATAACTAAAGCAATACATGAACATTTTGGCTTTCAGCAAGAAACTTTTTTTTTTTCTCCCCACTTTTGTACGCTTAGACAGATGCAGCAAGTTAACTGAAGTCCCTATTAGTAAGGACAAGAGGAGCCACTAAGGTCCAAAGGTAAAGGAGGAGACAAACCCAGCTGGAGGTTATCTTCACCCACACGGCTGGCCACTTACTTGTCATTGTCTTAAAATCTGCATCAGGGCTAAAAAGTAAAGAAGTAAATTAACAGATGTAGAAGGCATCTTCTGCAATTCCTTGCTATCTATCTCTGATATGAATCTGAAGTTGGAACAATGATTTGGGACATGGCAATGCAAGAGCCTTTGCAGGAGGAGTACAGCAAGACAACTAAACCAGCAATTTCCCAGTTGCACATGTTAATGTACTACTCTTAAAGGAAATCTTTCAGTGAGCTGTGCACTAGACACTAGATTCCTGATGGCTGCTGCCCTGTAAGCATATTTGCTAATTTATACAATATGGCAGTCCTGGGGAAAGTAGCGATAAGCTGCAGCAGCAGAGTATATGTCCAAGTGCTCCCAACAGATCTAGGGAAATCATATCTCCATGTAAGTGGCACGTATGGCTGTCCCTGCACATCCTTCCCAGGGTGAAGAGCCAGTAACATTAAGCTGGCCTCTGACAAACTTCCCAGGAGGCCACCTTGAGCCAGTTTCATATATATCCTTCCTGCTGCTTGCACATCTGAAGGATGGTGACCACACTTTCTGCCCTTGCAGCTGTGAAGCAGTCCACAAGGACTACAGCTGATGATCTTGTCTTTTTGTACATCTTTTTTTACATCTTACTTGGTAACACAAAATTGAGAAGGTACAACTCCAGAGCAACTGGCATAGGGACAGCACCTTAACCAGCTGGGCAGGAGTCTCCTACCCACCTAGAAACACTGGCTGGCACATACAGCCCATCACTTTCTGTCTTGCTCTTACCTGTACCAGTTCGTGAGTGTCATCATGATGTAAAGAGAGGCAAGAAAGAGCATGAAGTGAAAGAAGGTGTAGCTGTACTGAACACCATCCTTCTCGTTATCCATGACACGGCGCACTTCTCCTTCCTCTGCAGCCCCGCTGCCTGTTCCCACAGTCTCCTCCAGAATGGCACTGTCACTCCCAGACAGTGTCAGCTTGTTCACCTGGCTGTTACTTGAAGAGCGGATGCTGCAGTGTAACCCAAAGACAGACATGGTTAAAAACTCTCTTTTCAGTTAGCTGTGTTTGCTAATAAAGCAAGCAACAGATCACAATGAATGTCTGGGACTAGCAAATAACATTTTTTTAAAATCCATCTGGAAACACAAGGAAGGTCCCTAGAGATTTGTTTTCACCCGAGCTTCTGTTAACCTAATTAAACAGGGTTCCCAGTCCAGGTCTCATAACACATTCTGTTCTGTTATCTGAATTGGGCTAATAAAGCCTATCATCCACAAAACAGAATGCAGTTTTAATAGCCGAATTTGGGCTTGGGCCTGTAGACCGCAGCTGGATATTAATAAATGCATGTACATTTTCTAGACCCAGATTCAAACAAAAAAGGCAGACAAATCACAATTGTTCATCATTTGATAGCAGTGCAGATCCTACCTGGAATACAAGAGGCAAAGGACAAAGATAACCAATCCAACAACACTCTGGGCATCCCACCACTGTAGGGACTTGGGCGGAGCTGGAGTAGCAGGTACAACAGTGGTATTTGCTGGACCAACTGTGGGTGTAGCTATCTGGGTAATGATGTTCAGCAAACTCGGGTTACAGCTTCGTTCTGAAAGGGATTTCAAGGTAGATTAAAGAGAGGTGAGCTTTGACAGCATTAGGTAAGAAAAGATGACAGATGAGCTTACAATTTTTCATTCCTTTTAGCTGCTGATCTCTTTGATTCCCCAGAGGCAGTAATGGCACAGAATATTTTTCCTTCCTGTGAGCTAGGCAAGGGTGTAAGAAATAAAATCAGGATGCCCTGACACTGTTTTCTTTCCCCTCACAAACACCTCAGTTTAGTTCTGGAAAGAGGCAAGTTGATGGTTCCAGTAAAGTCAGCTTTACTGTCTCACTAGATTTTTATGGACACAGATCAGAAATCCCCACACTGTGATCTATTAATAACTATTGAGGCTCATCAACAGCTTCTGATTTCACACCAAAATATGTTACTCAAGACAGCCTATTGCTTACCAGGCTCATTGGACATGGCTGACCAAGTGAGATACATGGTGTAGAGCGTGATAACAGAGGACTGGAGGAGGCCAGAGTGAGTCTGATATTCCTGTTCAACGACAGAATAGCAAGCCAAGATCAAAAGGGGGATAGTTTTACTCTGCTGCCATAGATTCAACAATTAACTTGAAAAACTTTACTTTTTAGAAATGCATTGGGCTTTGTTCTATGTTTGAAAGACTGGAATAAACTTAGATTAATGCAATTTATGCAGTGAGCAACTTGTGGAAGGAATAAGCAAACCAAATCCAGTTTTTCTGTGCCCAAGACTCAGTTATAGGTTCTTACTGAGTTAATCCCAACTTGCTTAACACTTTTGTAGATCTGAATCTAGCATGTGATTTATTTGAGCAATAGCAGTTCAGAATCAAGTAACATGCAAGCTTCCTCTCATATTAAACATGCTTACCCATAATTTCAAAGCCACAGTATTAAGCTAATAAATTCCCAGCTTATTTTGCTTTTCCCTAATGGATTTCTCTGTTCTGCCAGAACCTTCACTACTAAAACCACACCAGCAGTGCCCCACATGGAAACACAGTCCAAAATTATGCTAGCCAAAAAAAAACAAAAAACAAAAAACAAAAAACAACCAACCTATCTTCAGGAAATATGTCACTACATAGTTTGGTTTCAGAGAAAGATTTTTTTGGTAAATGTTCCTAGCTAGCATAGCTATGATGATAGCCAAATTTTAAAGTTCTTACGTCTGACTGAATTGGTACTACACCCTTCTTACCTCCCTGCTTTGTATGTCAGAAGAGAGTAACAGAGAAAAATAATACCTGAACTTTTGGAAGGATAGAAACAATGGAGACAGCAACACACAGGATCATATTAATGCTTATGAAGAACTTGTTCTCAGTGCAGTCATCAGGCTTTGTGTAGAAAACATAGAAGAGCACAATAAAAACCACTGACAAGGCATAGAACAAGCTTGTACAGGACAGCAGAGCTGGAGGGAAAAAAATGAACTGTTACAATACGCATGTAGTTTAACAGTACATCTAAGGTGATTTAATGACCACCCACCACTGTAAAGACACAGTCCCTCTTCCTCAGTTGGAAGTCTGGTTCAGAAAACTAGACTAGCAGAATGCATTTTTTTTTTTTTACTAGGTATGGCTAAATTTCTGCTTTGGCTCACTAAGTAGCGTAGCTCAGAGGAAAGCCAATGCTGCCACCAGGGGAGTAAGTCCTGCCTTTCAGCAGTAGTTTAATTGGTTTAACTGATGTCAAGCCACAGCATCAAAATGAGAGTGCTTTTTGCACACTTCTAATAGGCTATTTACAAGCCCTTAATTCCCCCTTCTATGCCAGAGGCCACTCATTTTCATTTCCATTCTGCCATGTTCTTTATAAGAAGCTACAAAATGCAGTTGCGGCACTCAGTTATGAGCAAAGAACCACAACAATTAGCACTTTGTAATTTAGTCGTCAGCTCGGGAGCATGAGCTGAGGCATGCTTTGTGTTCTACTGCAGCCGCTGTCATCAACTTAACTGACTTCCTGAGGACCTCAGCAGGGGAGGTGGCAAAGCAAAGTTAGAGTTGAAGAGATCCAGGCTACTAGCTCTGCACTCGCACTGCAAACTAGCCACGTGTTGTTTATTATGACTGTCAGATCTGCTAATGACAAGCCTAGAATATTTTACATTTTATTTCATGAGAAAAAGGCAACACTGCAGCTATTAATTCCAAATGTTTACATGAGTGAATCAAGGAGACTGTGAAGTGTAATTCTAGGTATGTTTGCAAGCTAGTAAGTGATATTCTACAGAGTACTGGCCAGCAGAAACAAATCCTTTACAGGTTAAGATTCCTACCTGCATACCAACATTTAGAATTTCCCTCCTCCATTCTCTCAACCCAGCTCTCATTCCAGGAGTGAGCAAAATCCACAAGAAGCACCAGCTGGATAAGAATGAAGCAGAAGGCTCCACAAACACCAATAGCAAACCAAGCTAGAAAAGGGAGCAAGGAAAACAGGGTTAGCTTTCATCATTTGCATGTTACCCCAGTTTAAAAAAAAAAAAAGTTCCTAATTTTACTGAAGACAAATAATGTAAAAATCTGAAACTATATTTAGAAATGCAAATACTGTTGGCCTCCATCCTGCAGAAGCATGCAAGGAGTCCCAGCTATTCAGGGGTGCAGCCTATGCTAGTCAAGCTGAGCATGGGAATGTTTAGCCCAACATGTTTTCAGAATGAATGCAAGATCTAACACAAGACACCTTTGCATACATAAGTACCATCATGCCACATTTCTTTGAGGATTAACAACCCTTTCAAGTTCCTGTGATGTAGCTAGACAGCAAAGGTTTCTTGCACAGACTTTTCAGAGACTCTACGGAAGTATTTAGCATTTGTCAGTGTTCAGAGCTGCCTCTAATCTAAATAGTGTCAGAAGGCTCAGCCCAGTAGTGATTGTGTCATTGAGCACTGAATTATTAATGCTCAACACCTATGCACTTGAAAAGAGATTGCTTATTGCCAGAAGTTCAGTTGGTCACCAAAATACCAGATGAACCAAGATACTCTGAAGAAGTAGGACAGAATCTCTGTCTTCTACAAGATAACTTTCACTAATGCAACCATAGCCTGGTAAGTGTGTGAAAAGCTTTGAGTTTATTAAACAGAATTCCATCATTATGTATTAACTGTACCTCTTGTGAAAGGCCCTTCAGGAATGTAAAACGCTCCAACCATGATCGCCACAATGGCAGCTATTTTGAAGAACCAGAACCTTGAAAAGAAGATATAAGTTGAAAATATTGGTCTTACTCCGCACACCAGTAGTCATGTTTTACATGATCTGCAAGTAGCTTGCTGTACATAGATGAGTGTCTAACAGAAATTTAAAGAAAAAAAACATTGTATTCAGTGGGATTACAGATAAAGATCTTCACCAAATCAGGGGGAGAGGGTGAAGAAACAGTCAATACATTGGAGATATGGACTGACAGAAATCTCAAAGTTCAAAGGCAAATACAGAGCATTGCACCTGGCTGTGCAACAGGACAGACTGGGGGCTGACTGGCTAGAAAGCTTTGCTGAAAGAGGAATCCTGCTCCAGCAAATGGAACGCGAGTCAGCAGCTCAAACTTGCAGGGAGGAAGGCTAACTCTTCAGCTTGGAGAAAGGAAAAAAGAGATACAATTGCTGTCTTCAGCTGCCTAAAAGAAAGGTGTAAAGACAACAAAAACAGACTCTTCTTGCAGGTGCACAGTGAAAGGGCAAAAGGCAACATGTGCAAGTTGCAAAAAGAGAAACTACAATTAGATATCGCAAAAAATTGCATAGGTTGCCCAGAGAGGTCAAAGCATCCCCATCCTTGGAGACATTCAAAATTGAAGTAGACAAGACCCCGAACCACCTGCTCCTCGTTGGTCCTGCTCTGACCAGGGGGCTGGATCAGATGATCTCCAAAGGTCCCTTTCAAATTAAATGATAATCTAGTCACCTAGCTCTCAACTAACCCAGTTAAATCAGTAAATCAGAAATCTGAAACCAATTTATGCTGGACTACTGAGTCATACTGGCCTAGTGAACGACTCCATGAGTGCTGGAGTCAGGCAAGGAAGGGGATGTAAAGTAACTGAAATCCACCATCTCTGCGGAAACACAGAGGGGTGCCAGGAGCACCGCCCTTTCGGTAGCTTTTTAAGAGACTTAAAGTGTTACTCTATTCAGTTCAAAAGAAACTGGAGGCATAAACAACTTGCCACTGTGTTCAGCAAAGAAACTTCAGACGAGAAAGAGAAGAAACAAGTCAGAAGGACCAAACAGCTCACACACATACCCATTGTGTACCGAGGCTCTTGGATCATTACTTGTTTTCACTTCTATCATGAGCAGAGAGAGAAGAAAGAAGAACACTGCCATGGCAAAGCTGATTCGATAGACAGCTCTGTATCCAACAAACACATCGCAGCTGACAAAACCATTCATATGCGGTATCCGAGTATGAAGCCCCTCATCACAAAATCCAGGTATCTGAGTAAAGACACATTTAGTTGTGAATTTACGTCTGTATTTGCAATTACATTCTTTAAGCACTCTCACAGCTAAGGCTCTTAGTTAGCTCTTCTGAGAGATCTGATAACAAAAGACCTTGTGCTTACCTGGCCTGCACACACTTTATTATTGTCTGTCTTTCCCCATGTCATCACTAAAAGCATCCAGGAAGATTAAGATACTAAAGCAGCAGGCCTCTGATAACAACTGGCCCTCTTCAGGTCTGGTCAGGTTTCAGAGACCAGGCACATACTTAAAAATGTATATTCACTGATCTTGCTATTTCAGCTAGAAGCTGTTCAGTACGTGCAGTCTCTTAACTCAGCGGACAAAGCATGACTGGGTGGTTGCATCTCTCATGTAATCTACTCCAAATAAAGAGAATGAATACTCAGTGGCACAAGTAATGGCTTTGCACACAGTTAGAAGGAGGTTTTTCCCTCCATACCTTTTTCAGCTGCTCTTCCATCCCTGGTGCCAGCATAATGCAGGCAAGAACAGTGCTGAGAAGGAGGAGGAAGGCATAGATAAGACGCGTCACTGTTGAATTCTTGCTGTTGGGACAACATCGGCACAGTAAACACGAGGCACCGCTGCACAGACAGGGAATCTGAAGGACAGAGACAGAAATAGTAAGTGCATTCCCCTCAGAGCTGACACCGGGTACACAACGGCACCAAGAGAGGAAAACCCGAACTCCATTTAGAGGCACCTCCCTCCCTGCCGGACCGCCAGATAAACCGTTTAATCTGCATTTCTGACTGACATCGCGTTTGAAAACACCCGTAGATAACCTGGCTTATCAGCCTGGGCTCCGCTCCCGGGGGGCCGCCGCCTGGCAGCGGCCCGCAGCGTGCCG